AGCACGTGCCCTTCCTCCCTCACCTGCTGCGGGATGAGCCACAGAGGAACCCATCTCTCAGCCAGGGCCCCGCCCGCCCAGCCCTCCCCAGCAACAAAGACTTGGGTATGTGGGCATGGCCCCACGGTGTAGGGGACATCGCTCAGGAGCCCTAGCGCTTTGAGACCTAAGACCAGCCACATGGCTCAAAGGCAGAGCGGCCCCGCCTCCGGGCTCTGACAAGTTGACCTTGACCATCAGCCTTTGTTCTTGCTGTTTCATGGGACGCAGCCACTCAGGAGTGCACCGTGGAGGCCAGCGCGAGCTCACAATAGCAGCTTTCTCCCCATCTCCTTGCCAGCTCCCTGGCCACCCTGCCTTCTTCACCTGCTTTTTAAATGTTCCTATGGAAAGTCACCATGTCAGCCATCTCCACCGGGACGGCTCAGCGGCATCAGGTCCGTTCACACGGTTGTGCAACCATCACCGCCATCATCTCCAGAACGTCTTCCATCTTGAAAACGGAACCTCTGTCCCCATTGAACACTAGCTCCCCACCCCTCTCCCTGGCCCCGGCCCCCACCATCTACTCTCGCTCTGTAAATTTGACTCTTCTAAGGACCCCATGTAAGTGGAGCCCTACAGTACTTGTCCCGTTGTGATTGGCTTCTTACACTTCCTTCCTAAGGGAGTCCAGCCCAGTGCACAGACCACATTTTGCTTCTCCGTCCACCTGCAGATGCACACTTGCTTTGCTTCCAACCTTTGCTGCCAGTGCTGCTGCTGTGAACATGGGCATAAACACGTCTCATGGCGACTGCTGGCTGCTCTCCTGGGTGTGTACCCAGCAGTAAAACTGCTGGATCATTGGGCAACTCAGTTAACATTTGAGGAACCACTATCCTGTTTTCCACAGAGGAGGCACCACTTTACATTCCCGCTAACTGTGAGTGAGGTTTCAACCTCTCCATCCTCTCACTAATGCTCACTGTTGGTTGGTTGGCTTTGGACAGGAGCCATCCTAAAGAGTGTCACTGTGGGTTCGAGTCGCATTTCCCTCTTAATTGGGGATGTTGACCATCTTTTCATTAGCTTATTGGTCATTGATACATCTTTGAAGATATGTTTATTCAAGCCTGGCCAGTGTGGCTCAGTGGTTAAGCATCGACCTATGAACCAGGCAGTCACAGTTCAATTCCCAGAGCACATGTCCGAGTTGTGGGCTTGGTCCCCGGTAGGGGGCGCACTAGAGGCAGCTGGTCAATGATTCTCTCTCATCGTTGATGTTTCTATCCTCTCGCTCCCCCTCTGAAATCAATAAATATACAAAGTCTATTTGAGTACTTTGCCCAGATTTTAATCAGGTTGGGTTTTTTGGTTGTTGAGTCGTAGTTCTTTATATTGTCTCGATATTAGCCCCTTATCATGATTTGCAAATATTTTCTCTTTCTTGGGGTTGCTTTTACACTGTTGATTGGTGTCTTTTTTTGTTGTTTTTGTTTTATGATACATAAGTTTTAAATTTTGATATGGTCGAGTTTACCTGGTTTTTGTTGTTACTGCTGAAGCTGAGAAGAAACCCTGGAGGAACCAGGTAAGGCTCTGAAAGTCTCTGTGGGCAGGCAAGCTGGCCAGGTGGGATCAGGGGTCAGTCTAGAGCAGCCGTGGGCAAACTACGGCCTGCGGGCCGGATCCCACCCGTTCGGCTGTTCTATCCGGCCCGTGGAGCCAAAAGAGCGGAGGGGTCTCTTGCTCTCCCCTCCGCTCCTTCACCAGACCGTACCCTATGTAATGATGTTTACTTTGAATTTATATTAGTTCACACAAACACTCCATCCATGCTTTTGTTCCGGCCCTCCGGTCCAGTTTAAGAACCCATTGTGGCCCTCGAGTCAAAAAGTTTGCCCGCCCCTGGTCTAGAGCCAGGAGGGAAGGGGGTCTAGAGCCAGGAGGGAAGGGGGTCAGTCTAGAGCCAGGAGGGAAGGGGGTCCGTCTAGAGCAGTGATGGCGAACCTATGACATGTGTGTCAGAGGTGACACGCAAACTCATTTTTTGGTTGACTTTTCTTTGTTAAATGGCATTTAAATATATAAAATATCAAAAATATACATCTTTGTTTTACTATGGTTGCAAATATCAAAAAATTTCTGTATGTGACAAGGCACCAGAGTTAAGTTAGGGTTTTCAAAATGCTGACCGCCGAGCTCTAAAGGTTCGCCATCACTGCTCTAGACGGACCCCCTTCCCTCCTGGCTCTCGACCAGCCATGGGCAAACTTCGGCCTGCGGGCTGGATCCGGCCCGTTTGAAAGGAATAAAACCAAAAAAAAAAAGACCATACCCTTTAAATAATGATGTTTACTTGGAATTTATATTAGTTCACCCAAACACTCCATCCATGCTTTTGTTCCGGCCCTCCGGTCCAGTTTAAGCCCCATTGTGGCCCTCGAGTCAAAACGTTTGCCCGCCCCTGCTCTAGACTGACCTCCTTCCCTCCTGGCTCTCGACCAGCCATGGGCAAACTACGGCCCGCGGGCCGGATCCGGCCCGCGGGCCGTAGTTTGCCCATGGCTGGTCGAGAGCCAGGAGGGAAGGGATCAGTTTAGAATGAGACATAACTGGGACGTCAGATTAAGACTTGAAACTTCAGAACTTGGTACTTTGTTCTTTTTGGCACAAGTGTGGCCATCAGAATCGCATTTCAGAGAAGGTGCTCGTGCAACAGCAGGAGCTCAACTAGAAAGGAGTCTGGAGGCGAGGAGACATTGAACACCTTGCCGACTTTGAGGGAAGGAATGAGCACAGTGGCGGGATGGAGGGAGAACGAACGGGGCGGTCAGAGGAGCGAGGGGAGGCTGGAGGAGGTCGCACTTTGAGCACCAGGAGGTGGCTGCGGCTGTTAAGCCAGGAGCACGTGGAAGATGAGTGAGCGAGGGGAAGGTGTCACAGGGACAAGGAGAGATGCACTGCACTGCAAGGAGGCAGCGGCACCCACCAACGTAGACCTTCACCACTTATTACTGAAGACGGCTGCCAGGCGGATCTTCATGAGCCCAGCAGGTAACTTTCTCTGGTGAAACCACCAAGGTCACGGCAGGCAGAGGACAGTAACAGTGAGGATCCTTATTCTGCTTGTGTTCCAGGAGCTTCCGGAAGGACGGGGGTCTGGACAACACCTTTCCTCCCTCACACTCCATGATCGCCTTCATAGTCAACGGCTGGGGCAGATCCCAGGAGTGATGTAAAAATATTTTGCCTAAAATAAAAACATGGGCACGATGTTTTGCCAGCGCTCTGACTTCTGGAGCACACCACTTTTCACACACGCCCTCCCGATGATCCTGACAGACGCCCGCTGTCCCCAGGCTGCGGGCGGGAGGGACAGGCTGACCGGGATCACGGGAAGTACCCAGAACTCACGGCCCTAAGGCACGACGTCCTTTGGGACATAAGCGAGAGTAGCAAACACTTTCCCAGTTCCTGTGATGCTGTAACCAGCATCGTGTCACCCCCGATGGCCTGTCCATCAGGACAGGACAGAGCTCCTGCCTACTGCCTACCGGCCTGTGGACCCACAGGCAGGAAGTGCTGGGGTGACGGGTCACTCTCCCAGCACCTGCTCCCAAGTGTAGGACACACACCGCAGTTCTACAGTGCTCGTGGGGAAATAAGCCGAACATTTAGAAAAACCAACCAGGCTATTTTAACTCACTAGTGCCAATCATTTCGGATTTCTCAGCTGGCTCCTCAACAAATGTAAAAAGCACATGATCCTCATTACTTACTTAGCCACTCTGACACCAAACATTCCAAACTGCTCTAAGCATCCTATTGAACAAATATGTAAATATCCTTAGCCTGGATGACTTAGGCGCAATTAATACTTTCACAAGACTCTTCCCTTCTCCAACACGTTCAATGGCAACAGTGTCAGCTACTGTTAACGCACACAAACCAACTGAGATGTCTTGTGCCAACTGGGCGATGCAAGCACGCCCTCAGAGCCCAGGCACGTGATGAGGCCTGTCTTGGGCAGGTCTGCTCCTTCCGCGTGGCACCCACGCTCCAGTCACAACAGCACCCTGGACGCACACCCAGGAGGACAGGCCACAGGGTGCAGGCCTCCCCCCCCCCGAGACCTCCGTCTGCACAGACTTCGGGCTTTCCCTCGGCGCCAGGTCACCTTGAAGAGTGCAGACACCTCCCAAGGGAAATGGACCTAGTTATAATGAGGCCCCCTGGCCTGAGGGTGTCCCCCTGGAGCAGAGAGCAGCTGCGTCAGTCCACCACGGGCTCCACCCACTGACCCTCCTTGTGCGGAGTGACTCCTCAATGCCTGGGGCTCGGGCCCATCACCACAGGAAGAAGGTGCCCGGCACCAGGGGGTCAAAGGCAGCTGCTCCTGGCCGCAGTGTGGCCTCTGATGAGTGTCTGACATTCAAAGCAGATTTTGTTGGGCCTTCAGATCACACCCTGGGTCGGCAGTGCTGGCCAGCCTCCGTGCGCTGTTGGGTCACCTGGGTCCCCGGTGATGCCCGGCCTTCATGTGCTGTTAGGTCACCAGGGTCGGCGGTGCTGCCCGGCCTCCGTGTGCTGTTGGGTCACCTGGGTCGGCGGTGCTGCCCGAACTCCGTGCGCTGTTGGAGGGGAGGGAGGAGGAACTTGGACACACGGAGCCTCGACCCACCTTGATGGTGCTGGTCTGTGGTCTCAGGTGTTCAGGATGGGTCTTCAGGTTCCAGAATCAGATGCTACCTACTGAGCCTAGAATAGGAGGTGGTTTGGCCCATGAAACGGGGTTCCATGAGGAAATACATGCGAACTGGTGAAGGGATGCCGCCCGCCCCTCCCTCTCCACCTGGAAGGAGTCAGTGCAACAGCGACTCCCACGGAACAGACGCTGTTCCAGACGTCCTCTCTGTGTAGGACGGCTCCATTCCCGCTGCCTGGACCTGCCTGCATGCAGAGCTTCCTCAGGCACCTCAGGTTCCGCTCACCCTCAGGGACGTCCCCCGCCCACACCTCCTGTCCAGCACAGCGGGGTGAGGAGGGGGGCATTGGCCCGAGTGTGCTACTTGTTTTAACCAACACTCGTGCGTCCTCTCCCCAAGTTCACCAGGCACTCTCCCACCCAGCCCCCCAAGTTCACAAGGCCCCCCTCCCTCCCAGCCCCCCAAGTTCATACCCAAACCATCCACACCTGTGCTCTCTGGCTCCCAGTCATGGGCACCCTCCTTAGGGTCCTGGACCGGCCTCTCCTCTGTGGGGTATGTCTCGGGCCTTGGATGTAACAGCTGAGGCTCTGAAAGGACTGAGTCCATCTCAGGAAACTAAACTTCACAAACCAGATTCTTATGAGCTTTTAGCCTCAGCGTGTTTCCGCCTCCTTCACAGCCCCGTTCACCGAAGGAGGTGGCTTCTCTCTAGCACGCCACGCCCCGGCCCCCCATCATGGCACAGCCCTGTTTACCGAAGGAGGTGGTTTCTCTCTAGCACGCCCCTCCCGGCCCCCCATCATGGCACAGACCCGTTCACCGAAGGAGATGGTTTCCTCTCTGGCACGCCACCCCCCCATCATGGCACAGCCCCGTTCACCAAAGGAGGTGGCTTCTCTCTAGCACGTCACCGCCCCCCAGCATAGCACAGGCCCCAGGACAAGGTGCTGACCTGGTTGTTAGGCGTCATGAAGGATGAAGAAAACTCGGAGCTGGAGGTTTTCTGTACTCACACTGGGTCACTTAAAAGAAAAGAGAAAGGCTTTTTCTTTAAAGCACTCAGGTTTCTGCTTTAAAGAAAAATGTTTTTAAATAGTCCATTAATGTGAAAAATTCATGCTGCCCAAATGTCAATAATTCAGCGTGAGATTCGAGATGAAAGGGTCCTTATTCAAGCTCCAAAACGCTTTGCTCAGTGGGACAAAGGGCAGATGGCCCCAGGTCTGAGGAGGGGTGTACCCTAGGCGTGGCATCGGGAAAAGGTCATAGCCCTGGGGGACCGTCAGCTCCAGGGTACGGCAGAGTGCACACAGCAGGGCCAGGGGGTCCACACACCCTGCAGCACCGAGCCAGCCCTAGGTGTGTGTGGTGGCAGTGGTGCGGGGGGAGGGGGGCCATGCTGGGAGGGGACCACAGACACACTGACCAGCCCGACTTGGAATCTAGAGGCATCGTCCAGAGAGGCCACTGTACCTCCCGGCCACATCTCCAGTCTCAGATCCCAAAGGCAGCCCTGAGATCTTGGCTCTGGCACTCACTAAGGCGCGCTGTCACTGAGAGGAGGCGGTCACTGAGTCTGGGGCCTTGTGTGCGTTATGGGAACTGTGTAGAGACGTCACACAAAGCCTCGTTTACTAGTGAGGAAAGTGCTTGATAAACAGTGGCTCCGTTGTTGCTGCATTAGGGCTATTCCTTGGCTAACCCAAAGCATGGAGAAAGAGAAGAGAATTGTATCAGATGAGAGTCCATGGTCAGCCAACTCTGGCTGCCCTGGGGGAGCCAGGACTGCAGGACATGGCACAGGGCCTGGGGGTGCCCGAGGAGTCTCCCCCAGTTCTCAGGGGGCAGGGGTGCTGTTCAGAAAGCAAACCTCCAAGTCCTGTTCTACGCCTTCAGCCCTGGGTAGGTTTGCAAGCGTCTCTCTCTGTCTGGAATAGACGTGCCTGGGGTATAGCAGGCCCCCCCTGCCCGAC